GCAACCTGGTGGACCTGATTGTGTGGGGTTTAGGGTTTAGGGTTTGGGGTTTAGGGTTTGGGGTTTAGGGTTTAGGGTTTAGGGTTTAGGTAAGGGTTCAAAGAGTTTAGGGTCTTGGATTGATAGGGCTTCGGATTTCAGTGAGTTGCGTGCTGACTCCGGGCACGGAATTCTCTCGGGAACTCTGTACCCTACAGAGTCTCTTAACGGGGTCTATCCGGGCTTCCGCTGGGTGGGACCTATCGGCCCAAACCCTAAACCCTAAACTCGTCAGGGTATGGGGTCCATGTGTTGTGGGGGAAGAGCTTTGAGGAACCCAAAGGTTCGAGGAACCCAAAGGTTCGAACCAGTAAGGCGGCTGTGTTGGGTGGAAGTGTTCTAGGATGGAGAGATTGCCCTGTGCGATCGAGGGACCCGAGGGTATTGTTCGACCCCAAAAACACATCTAGGACAGGGTATCGTTCAACCAGGCGCATGTTTGCCCCGCAAGCGTATGCTTCGCTTCACTGTACGCATGAAACTCTTTTTTGGGGCGCAGGCACGCCTCCTTATTGGGCATAGGCACGCCCTCTTGACTTTTCCTTTGCTTTTTAGGCCTACCGCAGCGGCATGGGCCCCCCCTCCGGCCCCCCAAAAAACGCAACCTTGCAGTCACAGCTGCAGCGGCAGCCCCATAACGAGTTTAAGGTTCATGTGTGTTGGTAAGAGTGGCCTGGGTTTAAGTTTGACACAGACATCTTTGACGTAAGTGCTAACCCTAAACCCTAAACCCTGAACCCTAAACCCTTAACCCTTAACCCTTAACCCTTAACCCTCAACCCTCAACCCTAAACCCTACCCCCGTGACTTCTGAAGTCTCCCGGGCATGACCAAGGCATGACTTTGTCAGGTTTCTGCGAAGCCCTGAACCCAAAGACCCTAAATGCCCGAAGCCCTAAACCCTAAACCCTAAACCCTAAATGCCCGAAGCCCTAAACCCTAAACCCTAAACCCTAAACCCTAAACCCTAACAGTCCTGAACGCTAAGGTGACCGGGCAGGTCGCGAGCGGGCAAGCGATAGGCGCCGCAGAGGAGCCTTGATCCGGGTTTGGTGGAGAGAACAGCGCACCCTCAACCCCCTTTTTTAGGTCTTAGGGGGTGTGGGGGTTTAGAAACCCTAAGCCCTTAACCCCTCAAATAAGGGTTTAGGGTTCAAAAGGGGGAATCAGAGAAGTGCCCCCCCCCCCCCCCCGCACATCGGACGAAGGGCTCCTCATGATGGCATGCCGAATGGCCGATGCCTAGAACTGGCTTTGCTGCCCTTCGAACTGCTCAGACGGCGTCCGGCATCAGAGGTTCCTAAGCCCTGCAAGTACCAAAGTCCCCCGGAATGGCCCTCCATTTAACTTTGGCACTTTCGGAGGGGTGTGTACTATCTACTTTTTGCATGTTCTCGGCTTACAGGTGTGGGTCCGGTAGGGGAAATCTCTGCCATAGATGGGTACCATTGTACATTTTTCAGGGTACTTAAAATCCAATAAGGAATACAAAAGTTTAATTTTTTAATATTATCCCGACCATGAACTAGAAATCATAAAGTCGTCCCCGTAGTTTGTGGTTTTACTTCTAAGAACCCCAAGGAAAAGCAACCCTAGCATTTGTAATTTGAATCTTGGGCAGCCCCCAAAACCAACCCCCCTAAACCCTAAACCCTAAACCCTAAACCCTAAACCCTAAACCCTAAACCCTAAACCCCTAAACCCCTAAACCCCTAAACCCCTAAACCCCTAAACCCTAAACCTGCACCCACCACCCTGGGTCGGCCCCCTCGAACGATGCTCGAGGTAGGCTGGGCACAGCTAGGCCTCAAACAATCGAGTTTAGGGTTTAGGGTTTAGGGTTTAGGGTTTAGGGTTTAGGGTTTAGGGTTTAGGGTTTAGGGTTTAGGGGAGGATCGAGGTCCCAACCTCCAAACCTCCCAAACCCCGCAAAACCACTGAGCCATCTGAGCCCACATGTAGCCTGGGTCCGATTGCTTCTGGGGACTGGGACATGTTGATAGTTGGAGCCTGAAGCGGTAACTGACGACACCTCCCCCAAGCCCCACTTTCCTCCCGGACATCTGGCAAGCACGTGACGCCGTCGTGGAAAGAGACAAGCTCAATGCGCGAGGTAGAGTTGATGGCGCAATCTCGGCTTGCGTTACCTGTCCTGACCTGTATGCAACGTTAGTAATTAGTAGGCCCAACTCATCTACAGTGTGTAGGGCACAAGCTCAGGAAGCTTTGGTAGACTTGACTTACAGCACGGGGCAGGGGCAGTGCGCCGCAGAGCTTCGTGTCATCAGTGACACTACCAAAAAGGCTTGGCACTGGCCCAATCACGTTGCTGTGCTGTCCATGCCTGCGAGGTTGCTAGCCCATCAACAAGCAAGCCATCCGAACACCCGATTATTTGCCCACTCGCCCTCCTCTTGAGCTGCCGACCTCGTTTCGTGCTGGAGGACAAAAAACAGCTTGCACTACAACGCAGTGCAGAGCTCGAGCCACGGTGTCGATATCAACCCCCAGACCCTATCCTCTGATGTCCAGTGGTTGCTGTGGCCACCGTCTGCACGCAATTGTTTTATCCTGTGCGCTGGCCAGCCAGCCGGGACTCCTCAAGCAGTGGCACGTCAGGGGAGGTTGATTTTCAGGTTGCGGTATAAGGAGCTCCAGTTCGAAGTAGGGTTCGTGCTAGTGATATATGAAATTCGTATAGAGCAAAACCACCTGCACAACAGCTTCGAAAGCGTCTGTGTGCGAGCCCCGCCGAAGACGTACAGTCATTGTGGATCCGAAAAGGACATGTGGGCTCAAACGTGTAGAAAGAAAGACACGGAGGGGACAGTTCGCGCTGAAGGGGCTGCGCTTGCCCGTTAAGGGTTCGAGGTTTACAAGGTTTAGGGTTGAATTCGGGAACCAGGGTTCCGGGCTCAAGGCAATCAACAGGCTACATGCAGCGTGTCAAGCTTGTCAAATGGCATAATGCATTCGTGACAGGAGGTCTTCGAGCCTGCCCCCCCCCCCCCCCCAAGCTTCTAAATCCTGAAGCCACAACCGGGTTGCAAGGATATCGTCATGAAGCAACCACTTCCATTTCCACTCTGTGTGTTCTCGGCACCCTGTAGTAATACCAGATCATACCAGACCACAGGTGGCTTCTTGGTAAACATTGGTGGATGTCAGGGGACGGCTTGTTGAGAGTACAGCTTTCTGAGTCGGTGCGGCATGCGCAGTCGCCTTTATCCGGAGAGCCCTCCTTCATATCAAGCAGCAGCGCGCTTTTTTTGTACAGGCGGCTGCTGCGGCGACTGTAGCGGCTCTGGGAGGGGCCTAGGGCGGCGAGTCGCGTCACCAAGCCCTTGCAGTCGCACCCAACTTCGCGAACATAAACGCCATGAGAGGCTCCCTCCCCGAAGCTTCTCACAGAACTTCCTCGGCACAATCTCCGAAGCGGGCCTTGTGTAATTCGGAAAGGTGTTGTCCCTGACTGCATGATACTGCGTGCAAAGAATATGCGCTGCAGGGTCTACAAAGCGCCAAAAACCCCCCCCAACAAAAAAATATGAACCTTATCAAAGCCCCTACAAACACCACGATCCCCATCAGGTGGCTGACCTGGTCGATTCCTGCAACCTTCCAAAACCCCAATTCATCTGCCACAGAACTCTGGTGCAGGTGTTGCCTGAAGCGGCAGATCTTCTTAAGCAGAAGCGTAGGATCGCAGGTAGGAGGCAGTGTTATAATCTCACAGCGCGCACATCGCGTGGAGGACAACTCTGAGTCAGCAGCCTTCCAAATTGTCTAATTCTCATTGCTTGCGCTGGGCCATTCATTGGCCGGATGTGTCGAGACCCAGAAAGTGCTGCGGAGCCATAGGGTTTAGGGTTTAGGGTTTAGGGTTTAGGGTGTTGCCGGCAGCCTCATCAGTCCGTGCTTAAAAAGGGTTTAGGGTTTAGTGAACAGTCCTTCTTGACAAGGCAGACGCTGGGACCCTTAGCTTCAACATCCGTATCCGAAGCTGCGGATGAAAGAGTTGGTATCGGAACACGATGCGCAGCATGTTCTGGGATTTCGAACGTGCTTTCTGCGACTGCCATCAGGAGGTTGAAAGAAACGGGCATGGGAAGCCGTATGAGGCTTTAGGGTTCTCACAGGCTCATATGCAGATTTTTCTCGAGAAGTGCAATAATTACAGGTTTTCGTGAGAAGTACACAATGCGAAGTCCTAAGCCAGTGACACCAGCATGCCATGAGCCAGCAGCGTTTCCTTGCGAGAGCTGCGCACCTCCCTCTCCCCTGATCACCTTCCTGCGTTCAACATCTGGGAGGGTTTCTGCAATTTTCAACCTGCCTCAGCTCGCACGCAGCGAAATCCGTGATGATCTTTCCAGAAGTTTCGAAGGCGACCAATATCTCGGTTTCACTCTCGTGGACGCGGCCGACGTGCTTATCGTACCTCATCATGTACTGTGCGGGTTTAGCATGAAGGAGCTTCTGCCGGGCCACGAGGAAAGCCCGGTGCAATCGGGGTTAGGTGATGGATCACTTCGTCAGTGGCAGAGCCCAGCATACGCGCCCTCCTGCGAAGGACAGGAAAATTGGTTCTCAAGGTGGCCTTCTGTTGCAGGCTGAGTGGCAGCAGATATTCCAACCCCAGAAGCACCCTGACCCTGAACAAGCTGAACCCTGTAGGCGGATGCGCGTTCAGGGGAGGGAATCCCTACAGAATTGCCTTTGCAAAAGAAGCTGCCAGCCCTCAACAGGTCCGCAAGCGCAGCAACAGCAACCGGTCATAGATCGTCCCCGCTTTGATGTGAACCACCCCGAAACTCTTCAGTCCAAATGCCAACCCTAACAATCCTCAACCGAATGAGGAATCTGCGAGCACTGAGAGACATCGTGGGTATGGGGGTCTGTACTTCGGGGTTGGCGCAAACAAATCTGCACCCGACATCCCGACCCCTCAAATTTGCCAGGCTCTGCGGTTCGTCCTTCGCCGCTGCCCGGCACTTCGCTGTGCCGAAGTCACCGAGTCCGGGTTGGCGACATGGCAATCCCTGGTAAGTGTAGTTTAGGGCTTAGTCAGGTTGCTTTCGGCTGTGCTACTGGACTTTGGGGTCTGGCCGTGTTGCATCTTGCATTCCTTGTGGCCCTAGGGATCTTACAGTAGTGGGCACGCCACTGCTGCAACTTTCGTTCTTGCGAGTTCAGGGCGTGTGGGGTTTGGAGGGTTATCGGTTATCGGGTTTCTGAGCTTGAGGGCTTCAGGGATAGTGCGTCTTTGCGAGAACATAAACCCCCCCCCCTCCCCCCCTTTGTTCAAATTTTGGGTTTGGGTCTGGGTTTGGGGGCGCGGGGGGAGGGGGAGAGGGGGTTGGCTTGGAAAAAAGGGGGGGGGGACCTTGAATGTCTACAGCGCGCTTTTTGGCGCACTCTCTCGCTTCAGGTTTCAGGTTTAAGGGCTTGCTGCCCCCAGTCTGAGGTAAGCAGCGCATGCTCGGGGCTGGCATCTTGCTCGAAGCTGCGTGCCCTGAAGTGGCTGGACTGCACTCACTACAACGCATTCTAAGACCTCAAGGCCTGAGGCTCACCCTCGGCCAGTTCTCTCCCCTCTCTCTCTCTCTCTCTCTTTCTCTCTCTCTCTCTCTCTCTTTCTCTCTCTCTCTCTCTCTCTCTCCCTCTCCCACCCCTTAGTTGTCTTGCCACCAAACTGGGATTGTTTAAGCCAACAGGTTGAGCCTGTCCCTGGTGCCGAACATCGTGAATCTCGGGCAGGCGGCTGGATCCCGGCTGAACCCTTCAACGTAAAGCCTTAGTGGCCGAGATGTGCCTCCCCAGGCCATATGTTTTTGAGTTTCCGCCACTCTTCATGCCCGTGTAGAGGTGCAGTGCTGCAGTTCACGTCTCTTTTGCGCGAACCTGCAGTAGAGCATTCCTGCGCGACCCCTCAATCCCTCCCAGGAATCTCACTCGGAACCCTCAAAACCCTCAAAGCCCTCCACTAGACGCAGCCGGGGCCAGGTTCTAAAGTCGTGCAAGCAGCTGCGGGCTGTCCCCTCAGCACATCTTTTGCGGAGGCTCTGTTTTGGGGGAGGGCTTAGGGCATTCAGGGATTATAAGGAATTTGGAGACCCCAGAATTCGACAAGGAGCACATGCTACGGAAAACAAAACTTTATTCGGGTTTAGGGTTGAGGGTCAAGAAGGCTTCGAAACACGCGTGAGGGCTTTATTCACGGGTGTTTCTAGCTTTTGCAGGGCCAGACTCAAAAAGGATCGCCAGAGGCCGCAGGCACCAGGAAGAATTACCTGTCGTATCGGACGAAGTTGTGACAAGTCAGAGAGTAAAGGGGCTTCAGGGGCATCGGCTCCAGAAGCTTCGAGGCGTTTTGGCTGTTTTGGGCTTCTTAGTTGTGTTTGCCTACTTTGTGGGGCTTTAGGGGGGTGAAGGGGCCTGAGGTTTGGAAGCCTTAAAGCATGTCGGAAGTTGGTCTAAGCAACCCTAACCCCAAACCCTAGGTCCTGGTGCTCGCGAACTCGGGCGACTTCCCAGTGTCGGTGCAGTACCTCACGGAGGCGCCAATCTTGGAATCTTGGCCCAGAGGGCTGGTTAGGGTTTAGGGTTTAGGGTTTAGGGTTTAGGGTTTAGGGTTTAGGGTTTAGGGTTTAGGGTTTAGGGTTTTTGGCATGAAGCAGCTTCCAGGTTCAAAGGGTTTAGGGGGGATTCAGGTTGAATCTTCCTCTGTGGGGTTTGGGGTTTGCATCTAGAGATGGCTCCGGGGACAGGCGCTTGGAGGGATGTGTCCGGACACACCTTCCGATGGCCGCGAAGCTGTAGATGCTTAGCATGGCCCTGAAGCCCCGAACCCTAAACCCTAAGCCCTAAGCCCTAAACCCTAAACCCTAAACCCTACGCGGTTCGCCCAGCCATAGCCATGCAGGAGTGAGAAAAGGCCCCCCCAACGGCCCTAAAGCAGACCCCTAAACCCCATCAACCCACAAACCCTAAAACCCTAAACCCAGGGTGGCCAAACAAACAAGACAAAACCCAAACTTGGGATACTCCGCCGTATACTATAGCAGTCCTTAATAGGGATAATAACAGGGGGGTACCATAGTCCCTATTCGGGACTGGCAGTATAAGGGAGAACATCCCAAGCCTCAACCCGAAATACCCTCATCGAGGGTGCGCCCTGCACTGCGTCTTCACAGCTAGGGCGGGTGGCAAAAATGACCAAACCCCTGAACCCCCTAAACCCCCTAAAACCCCCTAAACCCCCAAGCCAAAAAACCCTAAACCCCAAACCCTAAACCCCAAACCTAAGACCCTGGGAGGAGCTGCCCCGTACCTGCGGCCTCCGCGAGCTCACCCTGGGCCGCTGCACCGCCACGTGGAAGGACTTCGAGGCCGCTTGGGGCTGAGGGTTAGGGTTTAGGGTTTAGGGTTTAGGGTTTAGGGTTTAGGGTTCTTTGGTTTTTTGGTTTTTTGGTTTAGGGTTTAGGGTTTTTTGGTTTTTGGTTTAGGGTATAGGCTTCAGGCTTCAGGGTTTAGGATGGTTCAAGGCTTTGTGTACAGGTGGGTTTAGGAAGGGTGGGTGTAGATATTTCTTCGGGTCTAGAGAGTAGGATAGGCTGAGCATGGGGGGTCTTTTGGGGTTCTGGTTGAGTGCACAAAGGCCCAGGCATCAAGGGTGGCAAACCCAAGTGTCTTACGATGTGAAAAGTTCTGAGCCAAGGCCTGCGGGCCCTGAATATACCCGAAACCCTAAACCACCCTAAGCCTGTCTGTGCCTGTGACTCTACAACTGAAGGTTTTCGGCTCGTAGGTTTCAGTTGGTTGCTTGGCGCGACTCCAGGTTTCGTTGAAGGCATGCTCTCTAGAGTCATCAGAGCTCAGGGGCGCCCAGGGATTGCTTGAAAGTGATTTCAATCTTCCTTTGAGACCTTGCGCCATGGCCCAAAGTGTGAACCAAAACCCTCAACCCTCAACCCTCAACCCTAAACCCATGCCTTAAAGCCCGAAACCCGTAACCCGAAGACCCCAAAGATGCAGGTGCTGTGCAAGGCATGCCCGCATCTTCAAGACCTGCGCTTGAACGGGGCCCAGTATGCAAACTGAAGGGTTCCTTGGGAAGGGCTGGATGTGCGGGTTGTTTCTTTCAAGACAAGAATGATAACTCTAATCATCATTCTCATCATTTCTCGTCCGAATACTCATAATCCTACGTTTGTCCAGCATGCCTAATTAGGGCTGAGGCGCTTGCTATGACACTTGAAAGCCCTGCACGGCTCGAACCCGAAGCCGGATCCAAAGCCTTTGATTTGAGATCCTTCGGAACGTCACAAGTTCGAAGCCCTTGGCCATAGCCTTTCTTAGGAAGCGTTTGTGTTTTTTATTCATATATAACCCAAGGGACGTTTCCAAATCATATGTTCATGAAGGTTCTAAGGGGAGTATACTTGGAAGGCACATGGTCGGGAGGTTTACCTAAATTCGTTTGCTTCATTCATGAGTTGGTTATACGTATATATTTATATATACATATGTGTGTGTTTGTGTTGCCACCTCAAACGAGGCTGCAGCCAGTTCTATCGAACTACAGTTCCCCTACTTACATACACAACCCAATTAAATACCCACCCATGACGCAGAACCAGGGCTGCTTGGCCTGTCTCACCCTGTAAATCATGCTACGGGTGGGGCAGACTATAGAGCCACCTTAGACCCCAAGGAAGACCCCAAGGAGTGCTGGGGCCTGCCATATGTAAACTCAAACCTCAAACCTTAAGCCCTAACCTCCCGGTTGCTACCCGAAACAATGGCTAGAAGAACGCCAAAAAAAGCACCCGAAGGCCTAAAGGCCCTAAAAACCCTAAACCCTAAACTCCAAATACCAAAAACCCTAAAGCTTTGAGGCCCGAAGGCCACGTGGACGCTGGAGGCCCCTTGAGCCCACCGCCCCTGGTTCCCTTGGGCCGTCTGAAGCAGCCTCGGGGCGGCAGAAGGTGGTTTAGGGTTTAGGTTTTAGGGTTTAGGGTTTAGGGCTACTTGAGAAGTTCATGGGCAACACATACCCAGAAGCTGGTTCAGGGTGTTTTCAAAATCAGGGCGTGGTGCACTGCAGCCCCAGTTCGGGCTTGGGGCCTACTTTAAGGTTCACGGGGCAGTTGGCGGTAAGATTGTACTTTCCTGATTTCGAGTTATAAAGAACTACAACATTCTCACAGGTCTTCGCTCATTGGGGGGGTTCGGCAATTGCCCCAAGTACCTGTTAAGATATGAAACAAACAATGCACAGTAGTTCTTTGCCTTCTTTTCGGAGCGAGGCATGTGAGAGACAGCGTATGGAGGCCTTCTTCTTGCTCTAAGGACTTCAAGGGCGGAAGGTTTCATAGAGACCATGAGGTCGTTGCTTAGCAGTGGTGTCCTTCTCGGCAGGGGCCAGGGAAGCTCGAACTTTCACCCGGGGTTCTGAGAGTATGATACTTCCCCGAAACCCTAAACCCTAAACCCTAAACCCTAAACCCTAAACCCTAAACCCTAAACCTTAAGAGCTCCAGTACAAGTTTGGACAGAAGCATCTTGGGGTCTAGAGCATTGGCATCTGTGGGGCCAAGTGTGACTGCTACCCAGACCCCTGGGAGGATCCAAAAGATAGAACCCCCAAATAGTACCCCTATACTACTATATTGGGTCATTCTTAGGAAGGGGCTTAAGGGGATCTGTTTTTGGATCCTCCCAGGGGTCTGGGTCTAGATGCCCCTCATGTCGCATGTCTCGGGTTATCTGAGGTTGCGATCTGTGGATCTTCGTGGCCACAGCCGGGCACAGAAAGCCAAGTGCTGGCTGACGGATGACATGCCAGGGGGCCAAGAACACGCAGAAGGGTTTAGGGTTTAGTGTTTAGTTTAGGGTTGAGGGTTGAGGGTTGAGGGTTTAGGGTTTAGGGTTTAGGGTTTAGGGTTGCCCCCCCCCCCCCCCCCCCAGCGCGCTGTAAACCATAAACCCCCCCAAGCCCCGCCCCCCGCCCCCCCCCCCCCCGCCCCCCCCCGGACTTGTCTGCTTTGTGCGAGCGTGAAAGTGGGAGACGAGATCCGAAACCCTCTGACCGAAGCCAGTGCCTTCTTGGGGTCCCTTTGAAGGTAGAAATGGCGTGTGCTGACTAGAGGGATTGGATAGTATCCCAAGTAGCTTGAGACCTCCCCCCCTCCCCCCAGAAGCTTCCGAGCCAGGTTGTCGCAAAGTCATCGAGCAAGCTTCCACTCACAAACCCCCCCCCCCCCCAACGATTAGGCCTCTGAGGCCTATGAGTCTTTATTTTTAGTAATGGTACACGCAGGGGCGTTTCGGGGCCTCAACCCTGTGAACCCTGAATCAAGAAAATGTCAAGGGATAGTGGCTCCCCACGTACAAGGTAGCTCCAAGCAACTCCTCACTGCACACCTGTGAGGTTCGGGATCCTCGCGCAAGTCCGCCACCTTCGTACCCACACCGCAGGGTGAATATTTGGTAAGTGGCTTCAAGGCTTCAAACCTTTAAATAGCTGTGGTGTGCGTATTCATGTATGCATCGTTGTTCAATCTAGGGGTGTCCTTAGCAGCCCCAAAATCTACCACTACCAGTACTCTCAGGCTGCGCGCCGTCATCATGGGTTTCGAGGTTGGGTCTGTGGTACGAGGGGTTGAAGTGCTCGTTGGTTCGGCCATTGCTGGATCGAAAACCATCGTTCCGCGAGCAAGCATCCCTGATCAACATAAACCCTACCCCATACGGTCACTTCTAATTTTTTGTGGGGGGTCCTTGTTATCAGGCGGCCCTTAATACTTCGGATACCCAAGAAGGGCCCTAGATTAGAGAAGTGACCATGTCCTACACCCTTCAGCATTCCGACGTCCAAGCTTAGAATTTTCCCTAAAAATCGAAAACAAGGGACACCTTACAGACCCCCAAGTAGTAGGATTCCCGTAGAACAAGGACCCCACCAAGGTGCCCCTCATTTCGGAAACCCCTACAGCTCAATCACCGTTCCAAGCCCGTGGTGCCGCCCTGCGGTGCAATTCTATCACACAGTCCATCTGAGGTGAAGTCCGGGCAGACCATCAGCGCTTGCTCTCGGACCGGTGCTGCTGGTTCTTGCGCAGGGGGCCCCTGGGAGCAGTTTGCAAGTTTAGGGTTTTGGGTTTGGGGGGTTAAGTGGGCGCAAGGCGATGGGGCTCTGTAATGAAGGTGTGCCCGAGAGCGCGATTGGGTTTAGTCGGGGAGTTTGCGTTTGAGGGTTTTTTGGTTCGGAGCACTTCGAAGTATGATGCCTGATGATTGCGATCATAGGTGAGGCACGTTGCGGTGGCGAGTTACAGGTGCGAAAAAAGCACTGCTGGTAGGGATTGTCATACTAGCCTGGATCAGGGGTTGTCACATTCTTAACCAAGGAGTCGGGTCTACAAAGGTTTGTTGGAGCCCTGGCCGGAGGACCTCCCCAAAAAAGCGAATCGTTGCCGAAGATCAATCTTCGGTTTCTCGTACTCGCACGCCACGTGACAAGGCCGGCACTGCTTTCGCTTGCGAGTGCTGCACCTCACTGGGTGCCGCGCTATGTGTGGCATGGCGTGCAGACAGCATCTTTTGTAGGCAATGAGGCAAGGCACGTTACCAGGATAGCAGGTTTGCCGTATCTGGGGTTCTGGGCATTGTTTTTGCGAGGCAGGCATGTGACCACGCATAGTAGATCGAGTTTCGCATGGATCTTGACCCAACCGACGAGGGCCTTCTGGGCAAGAAGTGGGGAATCCTGATTTCAATGCAAAAAGACAAGTCTACGCCTGTCCACGATGCAGGCGGTGAGAGTATCTTCGGCCTGCTCCACATGTGCGAGAGCAGGGCGCTCGGTAGCTCGCAAAACCCCTGAAATCCTCCCAAAGGATCCCTGTTCTTGAGCCCACACGGCCAAACGAGATCCCTTCAACCAAGGCACGAGATCCCCCGCATTCCCTGAACCTGAGCCACTTCCTCACTTCATACTCAGAACAGCAACAGTAGCAACAACAGGAACAATAGTAACAAAATAAGCAACGATATATCAGCCATAAGAATACTTGAAGGACCTGAGGAAAGGTGTCATGGTCCAAGGCAGCTCGGCTTTGCTTGCAGCTCCTGTGGCCCAAGCAAGGACTTGTTTCTCGTCGCCCAGACGAAAATAGATCCTCGCATCTTAGCCTGGAATCCATGACGGTGGACGTGGAGACGGCCGTGAAAGCCCCTGCCCCCAGCTACGTCAGTGACCTGAAGTCTTTCTTGAGGCTGGGTTCGTTCTTGGGTGCCCCCCCCGCAAGCTCAAAAGGCTTCAACTCGCTGCAGCGAAGGGGGGGAAGATGTGCCAAGAAGTCTACTTCTTGAACGTAGACCTGAAGATCATCTCCAAGGGTCCTTGTGCCCTATATAGCATATATTGGGCCCTCAAGCTGCTATATAGGAAACCCTTCAAGGCCCAAGTATGCACTTGAAATGTCCTTCATGGCGGATCTGCTTCTTGCATTCTTGTTAGCGCGGATCCTCATGCACAGAACAGCCCTTAGCCCTCTTGATGTCTTATTCACTGGGTAGGCTCTTGTGAGAGAGATATGTAGAGATATGTATGTATATATATATATATATACACATAACTTCTTTTCGGTTTAAAAGGATCATACTAAGGAACATGTTTCAAGGAGGGTTGAGTTCATACTTGAGATATCCTTCCCCGGGTCCTTCCCCCACACCCATGCCCGCAAGCCGCAGCAACCTCATCAAGCCGACCACATCACCTTGTCAGGCTAACATGGCCGCTGTTGCTGGGCAACACCCTCGAGTGGTACGAGTTCGGGGTGTATGGATGCTTGGAAAGGGTCTTCAGCAAGTGTCACGCCTGTAGCGAGGCATTGTATGAGCATTGTATGAAGCTGGTTGCTCAGCAAAAGTACCGGGGCCGCCCGATAGACCCTAAACCCTAAACCGTAAACCCTAGACCCTAACCCCAAACTCCCCCCCCCCCCCCCCCCCCCCCCCCCCCCCCCCCCCCCCCCCCCCCCCCCCCCCCCCCCCCCCCCCTAAAACCCTTAGCCCAGAAACCCACCAAGGATATGTTGAGAAGGAGATCTCCGAAAATTTCTTCGGGGGCTCAGCATCGGATGGCTGGCTCCTTGTCCCAATCACAGGCCCAGACCCCTGAAAGGATCCAAAAGAGGAGAGCCCCCCAAAAGAAATGTTTGTAAGGTTTAGGGTTTAGGGTTTAGGGTTTAGGGTTTAGGGTTTAGGGTTTAGGGTTTAGGGTTTAGGGTTTAGGGTTCAGCATCTCAGGTCCAAGCATTCACTTGTCAAGAAATTACTCCAGAAAAATACCCACCCGCCCGAAGAATCCCACAACATTATGAAAATATTTCACTTATGGAACGACCTTGCCCAGTAAAAAAATGACCTTGCCCAGTAAAAAAATGACCCTTGCCCAGTAAAAAAAAATGACCCTTGCCCAGTAAAAAAATGACCTTGCCCAGAAAAATGACCTTGCCCAATAAAAAAATGACCTTGCCCAGTAATGACCTTGCCAAGTAAAAAAATGACCTTGCCCAGTAAAAAAAATGACCTTACCCAGTAAAAACATGACCTTGCCCAGTAAAAGTGACCTTGCCCAATAAAAATGACCTTGCCCAGTAATGACCTTGCCCAGTAAAAAAATGACCTTGCCCAGTAAAAAATGACCTTGCCCAGTAAAAAAATGACCTTGCCCAGTAAAAAGATGACCTTGCCCATTAAAAAGATGACCTTGCCCAGTAACATTTTCACTGGGCAAGGTCATTTTTTTCTGGGCAAGGTCATTTTTTTTACTGGGCAAGGTCGTTTTTTTGAACGAAACGACCTTGCCCAGTAAAAAAATGACCTTGCCCAGTAAAAAATTGACCTTGCCCAGTAAAAAATGACCTTGCCCAGTAACTCCTTAACATTTAAATTATATATGAAAGAGAGGTTTAGGGTTAAAGAGGAGAACCCCCCCCCCCCCCCCTTCCTACGCTTGCGCCTTTGGGTCCTCGCAGGGGTCTGGGAGGATTGTGTGGGCCCAGCTGCTTGAGGGGCCCGGCTCCTTTATTGGAGGTGAGCTTTTTTTTTTTTCGAGCACATCGACCCTGGACTTGCTATTTTACAGGGCTTATAGGGTTTAGAGTTTAGGGTTTAGGGTTTAGGGTTTAGGGTTTGGGGAGGGGGGCAGCGCATACAGGAAACAGAAGGCAAAGATGAGGGGCGAAGGTGTTAATTGGCGTAGAGCCTCCAACCAAGATAACTCCTGTCCTACCTATCGTCTTGTCGGGAATTCTGTTTGAGGTGTAAGGCTTGTTTTTGTTGAATATTATGTATCGTGGTATTATTATTCCTACTGCACTCATCCTTTCCTTGGGGATTACTACCTTTGCTGTTTGTTAGCCGAAGGTAAGATAAAGCATCGTGGTTTATTATTATGGTTTTCAAAGGGAGGAGTTTCCCTAAACCCTAAACCCTAAACCCTAAACCCTAAAGTGGTTTTCAAAGGGAGGAGTTTAGCATTTGGAGACAAGGCTTGGCTTTGCCATCACCTTCGTGGCCCGACCCATGGGAGGCCCGCGCCTGTGTTCTTCGACTCTACGGGGTTTAGGGTTTAGGGTTTAGGGTTTAGGGTACAGGGTTTAGGGTTTAGGGTTTAGGGTTTAGGGTTTAGGGTTTGCAAAAGTCCTGATGCAATAAAAGGGCTTAGGGTTTAGGGCTACAAGTGACTGTCGTTCATTTGCTGCAGCAGCAGATGTTGCAGGGGCCCGCAAAAAGGAATCACACTTAGAGGTCTAGGTATACATGCCATGTACAGGCAAGAGAAGCTCCAGCTCCCTCCCCCCAGTGATAAGCTGAGCCCTCAAGCGCCGAGGCCCAGACACCCTGAGGCAAAAACGACCTAAATCGCGCGGCTACCCTAAACCCTAAACCCTAAACCCTAAACCCTAAACCCTAAACCCTAAACCCTAAACCCTAAACCCGCAGCCCCCGCTGTTTGTAGGGCATCTCATGGCGAGGTTTTGTCTTGGGCTACATCGCCGACAATCTTGGCCGGAAGCTGTCGGTCAACCTCTCCCTAGGCTCCTTGTTCGGGTTTAGGGTTTAGGGTTTCGGGTTTAGGGTTTAGGGTTTAGGGTTTGGGGTCTCGGGTTTCGGGTTTGGGGTTTAGGGTTTGGGGTCTGAGGGCGGTTTCATGGGCCTTTCGTATGGTCCCTCGCCTCCTCTAAAGGGTTCGGAAGTATGGGCACTTGATTTGTGATAGGGCATCTACGGGGTATTTAAGGCGTACCCGTTTAAGGGCCCGTACTAAGGGACCATGTAACTACCCTAAGATGGGGTTGAGGGTGGGGGGTTGCGGGCTGGTTTTGAGAGTTCCTGCGAAACAACCGCTACTGCTTGTAGTTTCTTGCGGCTTGTTTCGGCTTCAACGGTAAGGTTGCGAGCTTCTGGGCTCGGATCAACAACCCCGAAGCCAGTCAAGAGTCCTCCCTCAACTCCTGACAGTTTTCAGGACCCGCCCCCCCAGGACTTTGGACGTTCGGGTGCTTGGGAGCAGCTAGCAATCAACCTAGGTCTTCGGAAAGACGAGATGTAGTGTAAGATGGAGCTTCTTGAGGACAGCAGGGATACAACTGAGATTTCTTGCCCCAGCGCCTGGCATTGCACCTGTTGCGAGCCTTTTTTTGCTCAAGGGCGGTAGCCGCAAATACTCAGGGAAGCGAGTTGCTGGGAACTTCGCCCGGTGCGGACATGCTTCCCATGCCGCAAATCGCCTTCTACGATGGCACAGCGGAGCTTGCAACTCGGAACGGCTTCCTGGACGTGCCTTGGCTCTCCAGAGACCTTATAAGGGCCTTAAGGGCATAAGTTCAGTTTAAAGTGCCTAGTTGCCTAGTCATGGAGCTAGCGGGCAACTGCTGAGGTGAGCGTCCGCAGCAAGGATGCGGAAGAGGCCCGGTGCCGTGCCCACAGTGCCCCACCGCGCGTGGCGTGCGAAGACGCGACCAGCGACGACAATGAAGATGGAAAGCTGATCTGCCACACGCTCAGCGAACGCACTGTGAGCACGGAGTACACCGACTCCGATGTCGACTTCGAAAAGCAGACGACAGGCTGCCCACAGAGTCTGCAGAGCCTGGCGGGCTTGCAAAACGCGGCAGTTTCGGAGCATCAGAAGGAGGAGTTCACATCGGTCCGCACAGTCATGATCAAGAACATCCCATGCCGATGCCGAACCGACGAAATTCTCCATGCTGTCGACTCCCTAGGTTTCGCCGGGATGTACGACTGCTTCTACCTCCCAATGAATCGGCGTCACCAGCATTTTCGATGATTAGCACTGGGCTTTCTCTGTAGGACCAGCGCTTTGCCTCCTAGGAATCCCCAACCTGCGGTTTTGGTAAACTCTTGCTGACCACCAGCTATGCACCGCCCCCCCCCCTCCAACATCCCCGCCCCAGAAAGATGACGTGAATTCTAAGGCGAAGCTGCAAAGAGGGTGTATGACGGTATAATATGATCCTAAGCTCACTTAGAGTCCGCAGTCCTCAAGGAGAAAGAGACGAACCTTCGGCCAAAAGCTAGCTTGGACAACTGAGGCAGGGCATGGGCTACGCGTTTCTCAACTTCACCGCAGTGGGTACCGCCGCACTCTTCAAGGATGCCATTTCGGGCTACCGCTTCCCTGGCCGCAGGAGCACCAAGCAAGTGGAGGTGTGCAGGGCCGTGTTGGCTGTGTAGGTATGTTCCCGACCTTCCCGAAATCCCATGATCATACGCGATGTCTTCTTCCCCTCCGCCCAGGTGGCCCCCGCACAGTGGCAAG